TTTTTTCTGTTTATGTGGTGCTGAGGAATCAAATCCAGGGCCTCATGCATGCAAGGCAAGCACTTTACCACTGAGCCATCTTCCTAGCCCTTATTATGGGTATTCTATGCTTTATAATAAGTAAGGATATAATAAAGCTGGCTGACAAACATTGAAAATGATGTCAAAGAACACAGTACAATATCAAAAGAAATCTAATTCCCTTAGAAAAACACTGTCAATCCTTTGTGATTATCTCTACATAATTTTTCTTAGGAAAGACTATGCATATAATTTTGTATAAAGTCACATCTACAAAATTACCTTTTGCGGTATGAAGCAACTTTACCAAGTTCCATGGATTAGGTCTTAGATCTTTGGGGACCATTATTCAGCCACTAGATTCCACGGATTACTTTCCCTAGCCTTCATAATCAGACCCAGTGTCCTTTCTCTCACGTGCTAGGACTTAGGAACCTTGAATGTGGTTTAAGAGCAAGAGGACCATGTAGCAAATAGTAAGGACATTCATTAACTGCTCATTGAAACTTAGCTGCCTCTCCCTACTGACTCTAAAAATGAGTATAGAAAGGCCAATGTGTGTAGGTAGGAGGATTGATTAGTATTCTTGTGGAAATGTATCAGGATAAAAGATAAATAGCAGACACTGAAAAGTGCAGTATTTCCCAGAAACCAAATTAGGCTTCATAATGTAATCTCTACCAATAAACAAGGCCCACATATTCATGTGTGCATTGAAAAATTAAATATCTATTGAAAAATCTTCTATATCTAGGTATCTAATAAAGCCTCAAACAGGAAGAATAAAGGTTAAAGTAAATGGAAACAGTGGGAAAGATCTCAGCAGAAAGGATTTATAAGTGTTTCCTTATCTAAAAGGAAAATTTAGATCTTGTGAGAAATGAAAATACTGCACTTATGAAATGAAAGCGTGATATGATTTTTTTCAAATATTAGGGGCAGAAAAAAATTGAAAGTAAATTTATGATAGTTAAATATAAAAGAGAAATCCAATAATAACTTTAAAGGAAAAGTGGAAAGTTGAGGAAAACTCTCAGAAAAAAAAACTAGAATATTAAATTTCTAGGCCTTGGACCATTGAGCACTTAGAATTCCATCAGGATGACTAGAGATCAGAAAGAAAGCATCATCAGAGGAAACACTGAAACATTCTAAGCTGAAAAATAGGAATTTTCACATTTCTCAGTGCTTGAGATGTGCTCCTCTGCTGAAGAGCACAGGGTAGGGAAGGACTCTGGGTATAAAACGCTCATAGAAATATTCAATTGCGGGGTTGGGAAGGTGGCTCAGTGGTAGAGTGTTTGCCTTGCATGCCTGAGGCCCTGGGTTTGATTCCTCAGCACCACATGAGCAGAAAGAAAAAAGCCGGAAGTGGCACTGTGGCTTAAGTGGTAGAGCGCTAGCCTTGAGCTGAAGAGCTGAGGGACAGCGCCCAGGTCCAGAGTTCAGACCCCACGACTGCCCCCCCTTGCCAAAAAAAATAAATAAATAAAATATTCAATTGCTGCATAAGGTGGAAAAATTGTATGGTAGAGAAAACTGAGAGATAATTTGGGGGGGGGGCTATGAATCCAGTCTTTTGGGTGAAGCAAGATATTGGTAATGCAGCTATCAGAACCAAGAAACATAACTCAGTTGTATACATAGTTACTCCCTGATTCTGTAACCCTAATTCTATCTTAATAGTATACCTGTTGAAAACACTTCCTGAAGCTCAAGTGTAAGAGGGAAGTAGTTGGGAAGTTGTTGACAAAATGAATTCCCAAATAATCTTCCTTTAAATTACTCTGGTTCCTGTCTCACCTACCACCTAGCTCAAGCCTCAGACTGGGATTCTTCATTTCTTTGGCACTATTGGCACTCTGAGCCAGGTACCTTTATGGTAGGGGATTCCTCTGTGTATTACGGAATGCCTAGCAGCATTCTTGCTTGCAATCCACTGCAGGATAGCAGCACCCTCCCTTACTTCTTTACTTGTTCTGTCCAACCTAACATCACCCTCAGTTCTAAGGTTTTTTTTTAATTTAAAAAAATATTTTTTTATTTTATTTTATTTTATTGTAAAGATACTGTACAGAGGGTTACAGTTACATGACTAAGTGAATGAGTACATTTCTTGTCAGGCATTGTTACCTCCTCCTTTTCTATAAAAATTTATCACCATATTTCTAGGAATATTTACCAATTCTTTAATGTAAAAAACAATTTTTTTGATCCTTTGTAGTTCAGATCCTGTTTTCCTCTTTTTGGGGGGGTGACCTCTTTATTTCAGTTAATTATGTCTTTCTGAAATCTATTTCATATAGAATTTATGGGTGTGTTGTAATTTAAGCTATCGATGATTAAGCAGTGTGACGGGGTTTATCATTGGTGATGGTTAATATTGATTATTAA